AAAAAGAAAAAAACTACAAACAAAAAGATGGACAGAATTGAAATAGAATACAAGAAAACGTCTAGTCACTGAAATTAAAAGGCACATGAACAGAGGAAGAGTAGACACAGCTGAAGATAGACTCGAGAGTCACTAATGATAGATGCTCAGATTTACCCCCATAGACAGAAATTTAAAATATGAAATAGAGATTAAAAGACATGAAAGAAAAAAAGAATAGATCTATATAAGACTAATATGAGTTTCAAAATGAAAGCTAGGTAGCACTCCAAGAGATAATAGCTGTGAATATTCCAGATTGGAGAATCACAAAAAGTATCTACAAGGTTAAATCCACCTCTTGTCACTGTAGAACTGTACAGCTCGAAAGGCGCTGCAGAGGATGTTAAAGCAGCCTTGGAGAGGAGACAGATTAACCTCCGCAGGAATGATTGCTAGACTAATAGTGACTTCACATTAGCAACAATAGATGCCAGGCTGCGATGGAGTAGCATGTTCAGAGTGCCGGGGAGTAGCTTTCACCATAGCGGTGAGATCCAGGAAAGAGTGTGAGGCAGAATGGATCACTGAAAGACCTCGGAAAAGCTGTGCGTCGGAAAATGGGAACTTGGACCCAGAAGCAAAGCTGACATGGCTTGGTGGGGGCTATCTAGCAGTTCTTGAAAGAGCAGATAATTTTATATACACTGTTTCAGAGAATAAAGTGACAAACCTTTTTATGAGGCTAATCCAACCTTGATAACAAAACTGAAAACGATAGTCCAAGAAAGGAACATTACAGGTCAGTTTCACTTAGGAACATACCAGCAATCTGATGGAAAACATTTGTACACCAAATTAAGGTAGCTATTTTTCCTACGCACGTATACATCTACAAATGAATGTAACCAATGTGATGATCAGTTATGGCTCATCAGTGATCAAATGGTTATTATGCATTAGAAAATTGAGATAAACTAACCATATTAATACAACACATATGGAAAAAGCATTCAGTAAAATTAAACACATCCTGTAAATTTTTATGGAAGGGAAGAGGGACCTTTTAGCAAACTAGGAAATAAAAAATAATGTCCTTAATGTGATTAAGGAATCTACCAAAATGCATGTTAATGATTATATGGCGGAAACATTCCTTGTAAGGTCAGGAACAAGAGGACAAGAATGACCACCACTGAAAGGAAGTTTTTTTGTCAGTATCTTCTAAAATATATTCAGTCTGACTACAGCTCCGCTGCTGCCATCCTAGCCTGAGCCACCTCATCTCTCCTGGACTCGCAATAACCTCCCAGCCAGACTTCCTGCTGCTTCCCTCGTCTCCCTGGAGTCTGTTCTTAACAGAGCAGGAGTGTGAACCCATGTTAATGTAAGACAAATCCTGGTCCTTCTTTCTTCAAAATCCTCCAGCAACTTTCCCTGTCACTCAGACTAAAAGTCATGGTCTCTATAAGGACTTCAGGGCTCTCCAGACTCTCCCAGTGTCTCCCCCTCGCTTCCTTCATTCCTGCCACGTTCTTCCTGTGGTCACTCAGACATGCCAGACAAGCTTCCACATCAGGCCTTTGCTCCTGCTGTTCCTCTGCTTGAACCACTCCCTGCAAAGATCTGAAGATTTACTGCTTTGTCTTCTTAGAGTCTTTATTCAAATATCTTTTTCTCAATTGTGTCTTTCCTATAAAGATTGCAAACGATTTCCTTATCTACTCTTTTGGTACTCCCTATATTTCTAATCTGTTTTACTCCATAACATTTTCACCTTCTATCATACTGTGTATTTCGTTTATGTATTTTATTGTCTCTTTTCCCAACCAGAATGTGAGTTTCATGGGGGCAGGGATTTTTATGGACTTTGTCAAATGCTGTAACCCCCACCATCTGTAACTGTGCTTGGCACAGGATAAGTGCTTAGTGAAGACAGTCATGTGTTGCTTTATGATAGGGATACATTCTGAGAAATGCATCGTTAGGTGGTTTCGTTGTTGTGCGACCATCACAGAGTGCACTTATACAAACCTGGATGGCATAGCCTATTACACACCTAGGCTATATGGTACTGATCTTATGAGACCACCATCATATTTCTGGTTTGTGGTTGTTAACCAAAATGTCATTATGTGGCGTATTACTGTATTGGTTTAATGAAAATGTACTTTGAAATAGGGGTTCATTGGGGAGAAGGGATGGCAATGAGATTGGGGAATGGAGAAATGTGTTAAAGTTCTAATGCTTTATCTTATAAAAATTTGAAAGAATTATAGCAAATTTGTTTTCATTTGGTAAATACTGGTGATGGGTACAACAGTTTCTGTTATATTGTTCCCTGTCTCTTTCTATATGTTTTAACTGGCAATTCAAAACTTAAAAATAAACATGTATAGAGACTCAATTGGTGACAATGTGAAGAAAATTTGAGATGTAAATTACAGAACAGGATTTTTATTGACTTTATAAATATTATACAAAATCATAAAGTGACAATAATTAATATAGTGTAGCACTTGGTAATGAAAAAACAGTTAAATCTTTTTACTTCAAAATAAATTTCAAAGTTAGAGTTTAGTAAAGAAAAGAAAGGAAATAACTAGAAGAACTTATACCTGAATAGGCAATTTTGGGAGTATGTTAGAGTCTCCAAGTATAACATCAAATGGAGAAATAATATAGGATTGAATAAATCTAAAGAAGTCTTAAATATAGTTAAATATAAATCACAAATGTGTATTTAACAAGAGCATTTATCTATGTTTTTATTCAGTTCAAAGTTAGTGTTGGCTCACCGCAGTTTCATTCCAAGGTCAGTGTTAAATTTAAACCTCATGAAGAAAGGAAAATAAATTTACCAGTTATTTCTTGAACAGGAGTGAGTGAATTCTTTTTGTGACTCATGTGGATAGGAAAGAAGTCTCTGTCCTTGGGTCGTTTCTAATTTACTTGAGAACACAAATGCAGGTGGTCAGACAGCTCTGTGACTGTGCTGTCTCACTTTCTCTAGAAAGACCCTGATGGTTCTACGTCCACTCCTTTTCTCTTACATTCTTCCTCTTTCTCCTCTTTCAGCTGATAAAATCATGTCCTCAAAACAAACCCAGCTCGATGTCATCTGCTCCATGAAACGTGCTTTCACCCCATAGCCAAAATTACCTACCCCACCTTTGTAACCTCATAGGTCATATTTACTCATTCCACTTTAGTGCTTAATATGTAAGAATTTTATATTAAGATTGTTGAAAATGTAAAGGATAGTTCTAGTAGAGAATATTGCTACTAGATTGTGATGCTTACTTCTGTATCTTATTCATTTTCATGCCTCATAGTTCATTTCTTCACTCAACAGATTTGTATTTTGATTGCGTTTGTGATCAAATATTTTAATTGTTTCAGGCTAAAAAGAGCCATATACAGAGTTTAATATGTAAATCATGTGTCCCCTCCAAATAAAGGCCAAATGATATCATGTCACAAAGGTTTCACTCATATTTTTTAAAAATGTGATAGGTGAATTAAGTTGTCACACGCACATGTTGGAATAGACATGGCAATGTGAAAGGACCTGCCAACCTGCCACCGTATCAGTCAGGACTATATCATCTTTGCAGAGCTCAGCTTCAACAAAACTTTATCTGCTAAATTAATATTAACTTTAAAAGACCTGATTTTGTGATTTTTTAAATTTAATTTATAAATCTATTTTGGTTCTTTAATTGTATTACATATGCATGAGGCATGTGTACCTAATTTTGTATTTGTATATAATATAATAATGTATATAATATACTGTATAATATAATTTAAGTCAATATCAGGAGTCTGGTAAGACTTTTTCTTTTAAAAGGATTTGTATATTACTCAAGGTTAGGAAATGCTGATATAGACTACAGAATATTATAATGGTCAGAGGCAAAAGAAATCAATGTTAGAGTAGGAAGAAACACCCATTTGGATTATGACTGCATCTTGATTGTGTCATAATAATGATTTTTAATTCATTATGACAACTAGCCATTTATCAAATAATCTAGAAGTAACTTTGTCTAGATCTTGGGTCAATATGTGTGTTTATTAGTTGTTATTTAAATATCCAAATTTAAAAATAGATATATTAAGGAGTGATTTGTAACTTTTTCCTGAAAGATACATTTAGTACTTAATTCCTTTGCAAATCCTTCATGTATCTACACATGGTCCCGATTTGCAGTGTATCAGCTTATAGCCTGTATAATTATTGTGTAAAATTTTTGATAGATTTATATTAAAATCTTCTATTCAAATGACATGAAGATTTTGCTGATTTTTTTAACATAGATGCTTATTTTAGACCATTTATGCTTTTATTTATAAGTTCTTTTTTACTTATATCCTCATATAGTCCCAGTAGGTCAAATTGTGATTTCACATGTTTGTGTTCACTTGTTTCATTTAAAAAGTAAGGTTTAGTCAAAATAGAAATTTAAAACACTTGTTTCCTTAGTTGTTTCTAAGTCCTTTAGCCCCTCTATGGCTGTTACTTTTTTTCCTACACAACTGTTTCTTTAGATATTTCTAAAAATTTGAAAAATCTCTTAATATATATATATTTATAGTAATTTTTATTTGTTAAAAATTTATCACAGAATATCATATTGTAGTTTATTTAGAACTCATTGTGGTGTTTAGAAGCACGTTTTTATTCAGCCAGCAGATGTATAATGAAAAGCATTTAGTTAATGAAGAAAATAATTTTAAATCTAGTTTGGTCTTAATTTTATAAAAAATATGTATTTTTCTAATTCATCTGGTAATATTTAGATTAATGAAAGTCATGCTGAAAATTGCAGTTGAATTGCAGGAGTACTATATTCTTTTGTTCATATTCAACATTACTTTTAACTTACTATTCTTGTTGCACAAGATACCTTGTCTTTTAGAGAATACAGTGGTATTATTTACATTAATTTATGTGGCTTGGTGAAAAAAAAAATGCTATAACTCCTTTACTTAATGGGATTCTTCCCCTGTGGCAGTGCAAACGGCTGGAGCAGGAGCTTCATCATCTGAAAGAGCAGAACCAGACTTCAGCAAACAACATGAGACATCTGACTGCTGAAAACAATCAAGAACGTGCTCTGAAGGTAAATCTCCACTCCTTCTTGCAGGCAAATTAAGGTTGTAAGCCCTTGGTGCCAGCTTTCTGGGCTGCACATTTCACTTGTGTACATTTCAGCAGAAGTGAGCTGTGGTGTTTGCCAACAACCCCTTCTTCAAACACGGAGACAGCACCCTTCTGTTATCGCGTTAGTTTATTTCGTGTATGTGTACGTGAAAACAACATATTTTCTGAGTTTTGAGTGGTGGTATATTAATAACTTTCGGTTGATGTTCATTCTGTTTTTGATTTTATAATATATTGTTACCTTTCGTAGTTAATAAAAAGTGACCACACTAAAAGAAAAATGATGTAAATCATGAGCCTTTTCTTCGCATCAATATTTATTACAACAATGTTTTAAATAACTTATAATATCAGTAACACACTGAACTGACACTCCCTCAAGGGTATGTGAATATGTTTGGGAATTGAAAGATTACTCAAATGTTACTTATAACAAAAAAAGAAAGAAGATATATTCTACCAGAACTTGAAACAAGTGAAACGTACATTTCATGACAAAAAGTTCTGTTGTGTTGTAATATAGATCCAGTAATCATGAGAAAGAACACTGTTTCAATTCTACTAATTATATTTTTTTCTTAAGATATTTTCCGTTCTCCTTTTTGTCTTTGCCCCAGTTCCTAGCGTAGTGCCTGCGACATAATAGTGGTCCCTGCCCTCAGGGTGCTTCCATTCTCATTGATGGTTAAAAGTAAAAACAAAACATATCGACAGGAAACAGAAAAGATTCATCATTCTTGCTATTGTGCAGTAAAAAAAAAAAGATAGGCTCTCAAGAGGACTGTTTCGTACTTTGTTGTCTTAAGTTCATTTTTTGCTACAGATTACAAAAGAATATCATGTCATTAGCAGTGTAACTCACCAAGCCAGAATCATCTACCAGTATTGAGAAAAATGGTGACGTTTCGATGTGGAAAATATTTTTACTCTGTTCATAAAGTGTGAGGTTTGCTTGAAGTCAGATTTTTCTACAAAATGTAGTTTCATTTTGAAATTCTGTTAGTAGTGGATATACTGTGTTATTGTTTAATGCACTTTCTCTCCTTTTCTCTTGAATTTGTAGATCAGAACAATAAATGGGAAAGAAAGGAATTGTAGATTGCTGTGGTTATTTCTTAATTACCCCAAGGAATTTACTATTTAAAGAGTAAAATTAAGTATAATAAATTTTTTTAATATATCCTTGCAAATCAAAAGTAACGTTGTTTTAAAGACAGCTTCCCTTATGTGTGCTAATTTATTACCAGCATTAGGGGACAGATTTCATGTGTTCTCTGTGAGATGGCTATTTCCAATTAAAACAGAACCTAAACTAGAAATTCTGGTTCGTAGGTATTAGTACTTAATAAGTAGATAATGATTGCATACTCTTTATTCTGGCATTTTTGGTTGTGTATTTATGTTAAATTGAATTAAATGGCAGCTGGTATTTATGGAGAGAAATAGATGCACATTTCTAAGAGGTTATTAAAATTAGAAGGCAAAATGTAGACCCAAAGAGACCTGGAAGTTCAAAACAAAACAAAGCAAAAACCAAACCCTCATAAAATAGAAATTTCTGTAAAGTGTGGACTGTGTAATTGAAAGTAGTATATAAACAAAGCTACCTTATTACCCCTGACAAATATACTACATTAAAATCTTTTCTAGTTGCTCGTCTTTTTGTGCAAAAGTGTCAGATGTTCTGTTGTCTTTTAGTCCTTCAAAACTTCATCCATTAACTAAGCCAACTTAAGCTTTTTGTAGCGTAAGGATGGGAGGAAGAATCAATTTTTAAAAACTCGCTTATCAGTTCAGTCTTTTTAAAGTCCCTGTGTTCATTTTAGCTCTTTTTAAAATGTCTGTCCTGCATAACACTGACTTTGAATCATTTTTTAGCTATTTTATTCCAGAATTCCTCATGAGAAACCTTAAATTTATTGTGAAAATTAGGTTATTTATAATGCGCATGCTGTATTCTGAATCCTTTTTCTAAAATTCTTACTTTTCAGGGACTTTGTTCTTTGTTTGGTGCTTTGATTGCACTCCGTATCATCGAGTCGCCTGGAAGTTGTGAATAATAAGCAGTTTATTACCAAGCTATCTGGTGAATAAACTGTTTCCGCTGTGAGCAGTGTGCTTATCTTTTACAATCCATTTACAAGTGTCACTTTTTTGTTAACTGATATAATATTTAGTTAGTATCTTAGATGAGCTTTAGGAGGAATTTTTAAAAGATTGATTGTCTCCAGGACCTTTCAGTCTGCCAATAATATTTCTAGTACTTTATCATAATAGTACTATTATTAATATCGCTAATTAAGGTAAACTTGAATCGAATGAGAGCTGAAAAACTCTTGTTTTATTTCATTGTGTTAGGCTGAAATTCCTAAAGGAAATAGTCCTAGAGATATGTTTGGGAACAATCTAAGTTAATGGTCATACATTACATAGAACTTTTCAAAGTGATGATTATGGCAAATACACGCTTATCATACAAGGAAATACTTTTTAATAATCTAGTGCTATTTAAATAATAATGCTTTTGTTTATTCTCATAATCAGAAAATTCTTCCTCAATTACGTTTCATGATAGAGCATAGAATTAGACTTTGGTGATCATCTATAAGCATTATTTTTGAAGTAGCATGGAATTATACTAGCTAAATTTGCTAGCATGACACTATTTCCCTACTTTTATAACATTTGCAGTTTTCTCTAATAATGAGTAAAACACAGTGGTACATATAGGGTGATAGGCTGAATTTATGCTGATACTAATCTATACCCTGAGAGTCACTTTAAAAAAAGACAGCGTATTTTCTCATTTAAAATAAATTTTATCCACTTATGTTAAGAAATTGGTTTTTTGAAGAACATAATTTTGAACATTTAATGATTTTAAAATAAATTTAGATTAGCTATAAATATGCAGACATCAGACTTTATAAGAAATGTCATGTATACTGTCTTTCTTCCCTCTTGCATTTTATTTATTTACATTCCTTATCACACATCTTAACCTCCTACAGTTGGGCTTCTCCACTATAATTCCATTGAAAGGCATTCTTTCTTAGATTATGTGACCTCTGATGGTTAAACCTGTGAAACTTACCGTCTTTTATCCTACCCAATATTCCTATCATGTCAATCTTCTTGGCCCCACTCTCTTGAAGTACTTTACTGTGGTTCTCTGTTGCTATGCTATATCCTCACCATTTTTCTTTTCTTTCATTGCTCTCCTTTAGTTGGTACCTCTTTTTCCACATATTCCTAAAGTATAAATGTTCTCCTGGGTTATGTGATTAGTTTCTTATTCTTTCTAAAGAAAATCCAAACTATTATTTTTTAGAGCAGTTTTAGGTTCACAGCAAAATTGAGCAGAAAGTCGAGTCCCCACATACCCTCTGCCCCAACACATGCACAAGCCCCCAGCATCCAGCGCAAGAGTGGTACATCTGTCAGGGTACAGGAACCTACATTGGTATAAGTAGAAGCCAAAGTCCATAGTTTACATTAGGGTTCACTCTTTGTGTTGTACATTCTATGGGTTTTGATAAATGTAAATGACATGTGTCTACCATTATAGTATCATATAAAAGAGCTTCACTCTAAAAATCCTCTGTGTTCCACCTATTTATCCCTCCCTCCCCCCAGCACCTGCCAATCATTAATCTTTATATTGTGTCCATAGTTTTGCCTTTTCCAGAATGTCATGTAGTTGGAGTCATACAGAATGTAGCCTTTTCAGATTGGCTTCTTTCACTTAGTAATATGCATTTAAAGTTCCTCCATATCTTCTGATGGCTTTATGGCTCATTTATTTTTAGTGTTGAAGATATTCCGTAGTCCAAATGTCCCACAGTTTATTTATCCACTCATCTACTGAAGGACATCTTGGTTGCTCCCAATTTTTGGCAATTATGAACAAAGCTGCTATAGACATCATATACAAGTTTTTGTGTGGACATAAGTTTTTCAACTTCTTTGGCTAAATACCAAGGACTGTGATTGGTGGATCATGTAGTAAGAGTATGTTTAGTTTTATAAGAAACTGCCAAACTGTTTTCCAGAGTGTCTGTACCATTCTGCATTCCCACCGGTAATTAGCATTTCTGTTGCTCCACGTCCTCGCCCGCATTTGGTGTTTCGTTTATTGTAGGCTTATCTCTTCTAATTTCATCCATTCCTATGACATCACCTATCATTTATGTCCTAATGAGTGCCTTCTCTGCCCTTCCACTTGGATATCTAATGTCTCCTTGACCTCTGAAAGTCTGAAACCAAATCCCTAATTTGACTCCCTCAGCCTTCTCTCCTCTCTGGGAAGAGGTCAGGACCTGAGTCAAACACCATTGACTGTATAACTTACCATTTATTCTCAGTTATATTCTCCTTTGTTTGCCTTTACTATAGAAGCTGGAAAAGTTAAACACTTTCTCAGCCTTTCTTTTTGCCAATGAGACATAGAGGAAGTCTGTAGCAGGGGTGGGAGGAGAAACTGGAGTCTCTGAGAAGATTTTGTTTTCCTGACATAGGACAGATGCTGCAGGCACCATTCCTTCCTCTCTTACTACCCTGAGCACGCACTTGCTGCCTGGAACTGCAGCAGCCATTTTATGGCCAGGAAGAAAACACCGCGAGAAGCTGGCCTGTGACGTCATTGAGCCCCTTAGCCAGCGAGCCGCTTTGAGAACGTTAAATACCTTTCCCCTGACTTCTTTTTCCGGTGACTGAAATGGTGTGCTGTGTTTTAAGTCGTCTTAACAGTTTTCTGTTATTCACTTACAGATTAATCAATTAACGGTACTACCATACTCCTAGACATGTAGGCTAATATAATTGACCTTATCGTCATATCCTTTCAACCTCTCACCCACCTCAAAACAGTTCAGCATCTGGTCTTGGCAATTCTGCAATGGTGATTTCTTTTCTGTTTTTCTCTCATTTTTGTTATCCTGCTTCTACCCTGTGTCAAAT